TTTATTGCTCAGAGCAATTAAAAACATATATATATAATAAATAGCTAATAAAAAGCCCCACTGTCTGCAAAAGGTTTACTTACAGAAATAACAAGCGGTGACCCGAGCTCCGCTCCTTGAACTTTTTGCTTATTAAACTAATCCCAATCCTGCGAAGACTTGCCAAGATACTGAACTTCATGCCTAACAACTTCAGTACGTTAAGTACATGAGCCCTCTGTAATATCAGGCCTCAAGTGTCTCCTCAGTGAATTTCTTACTCTTCTGAAGTACAGAAAGCAGCAATCTAAATTGGAAACAAGGACAAACCAAGGACAAAGAAGTTGGGAGGGTGAATGAGCTCACCAAAACACCTTTATCCCTTAGCGAGGAGCCCAAATGGGAGTCAATGCTTTTCCCTGCCTCACTGCCTTGAATTCAGAGAGATGCTGGAGGTCCAAGTGGCTCTCATGTTTCCTTGATGGCAAAGCAGGTGCATGAGGAACCATTTTAAAGGATGATTCAGGAAAACCAGGAAGATATAGCAGAAAAATATTTATTTCATCACACTCATACAGTTTTTACGTCTTTGTACACAAAAGAGACTAGATTAAAAACTGATTCCTTGAAAAATCTATTCCACAGGGTGAGATTTACAGTAGGAAACTTTCTGTGCAAGTCCATACACTCTACTAAATATAAAACAAATACAGGAACAGAAAGCAGAGCATATTAATCTTGTTAAATAATCGAGTTACAGCATTAAAATCACAACCTGCATTTAAATTCCTAATTCAGCAATTAGTTTTACTTCTGTAAGTATATGTAATCCATAGTAACATCTGACATTCCTGCAGTAACCAGCAGCACCATAAATATTCTCTAAAGCTGGACACATCACTGCACACAAGATCAGAAGCTGATTTCCCAAGATAGCACTGCGAGGCAAACCGGTCTTAGAGAAAAAGCAATGTCCTTACGGCCTGTCAAGTCAAGACTAAGCTCCAGAAAAGATTATTTACCCGTTAAAACCTCTCACCACAAGAGACTGAAAAACATTCAAGTGCAGTTAAAAAATGGTCATTTCAAGTGCAGTTTAAAAAATGGCAAGTAAAGTGCTTGATCCTCTTTATTTACTGCCACTATGCCAGTGCAGTTTGTTTCATGACATTGTAGATAACGCTGGTTTTGGTACAGAGGGGAGAAAAAAAATTGCCAACCCACAGACCTATGATTTGCACTGCTAGACCTCAATTTAGGAAAAAAGCACTTAAGGCATATTTACCATTAGTACTGAAGTCTGCTGGAACAAACAAGTGGGATCCTCCACACAATCCAGTTTGTTCTGGCTTTTACCATTTGCTGGCTTGGACCCACTGCCTGCCAGCAACAAAAGTGCTACCTCTTCTTTTGGGGAAGGAACCTTGTTCCACAGGAACCTATGGGGAGCTTCAGAGACAAAATAGGGCTGAGCCTGCACCTAGCTAATGCTGTAGTGGATTTTAGCAATGCTCCTCCTCACAGACACTGACAAAGTGTGGCCAAGAACGGATCTGGTATGTGCATCTTTTCTCGGCAGACAGCCACCAGTGCTGCCTCCAGGATTCTTCCAGACTCTGGTGTGATATTTGCCTAATTATGAAAATGAAGGATATTGTATTAGAAAAAAATGCATTGCTTTGAATAGAGATGGGTAGAAAATGCTGTTTTAAAAATCTGCTTTACTCAATCCATTGTTCCCCTTTCACCTTTCCCAAGTATCTTTGCTGGTAGAAAAGTCCTGTAGGCCAACTTCCTATTTCTACCCTCCAGCTGCCAGGTTTTTTCCTACCCTCAGCTGGTGATGTCAGCAATTGTTCTTGTCACACTTTTAATGCCTTAACAGCTTTGGTCAGGTTACTGTAAAATCCAGCTATGCTAGCAGGAAAGAAGGAATCCACCACCGTCTGGGGAAGATAGCCACCAAGATCAGTCTGAAAGAAACTGAGGAGTTGGGTCCTGTCTGGCTCCCTGCAAAGACAATGCAAGTGATTTTATAGTCAGCAGTTTAAAAGCCTTGAGAACTTTACAATGACTTTTACATGTGTAAGCTAATGATAAGATATTTTTAAGTACTTTTTTTTTTAAACACACAACAGACATTAATTCCAAATTTCAGTGAATGCGGCGATCCCCACAAGTCAAATTACAGTCAAACTCGGCCCTAATTAGGTACATGACTCTGTTTATGAATTATGGCAGTGTAATAAACAACCAGATACTCATTTACCAAAAATTAAGACTATACTTGTATGTTCTGCTGAATCTCTGCTTAAGAGGTCAGCAAGAATCCTACAGTGATGACAGTTCCTGTAACATTAAAGACTTCTCTCTAGGAAATGAAGAGACTAATTCATTGCACAAGGAAGAGAACAAAAAGGGCACTCAGCTACGATTACCAGTCAAAGGATGACAGAAACATGCCATTGCCAAGAGGCTACAGATCACATGTAGCCATATCCACATAAACACACCACGCAATGGATAAGAAGGGCTTTAGAATAAATAACATTCCAATAGATCACTTCTTACCCTGGAAGAGGGATACAGAAACAGCCACAGGGATAATTAAAACCTCTCACGAAATTTGGTTGAGGAGGACACAGCGGGTGCTCCACATTGGTGGCTGTAAGAAGAAGTGTTCAAGAAAAGAGTAATTTTCACATGAGACAGGAAAGAGTCCTTGGTACTCAAAGCACCAGCTGAGAAGCAAACTCACTAAAAGAGAATACACGTAAGAACAACGGCAGCGTAAGCTTTTCAGTGTGGGGCTGTGCCATACAAGCAGTCAGAGAAGACCATTAAAAGGAACCACTCTGGCCATGGAATGGGGAAGTCAAAGAAGTGCTGAATTTAGAAGCAATTGTTACCGAGCTCTAAGCTAAGCATCAAGACACTTTGAGGGAGTTTCACTGAACCCATGTTGTGTGAGGGCATTGCTTTTCTTGAGAGGTCATTCAAATTACTTCCAACAAATCCATACCACAGAGATATATGCCACTTGACTGCTGAGAAGCTGCA